CAACCATTTATTTATTTATTTAATTTTGGCTAAAACGGCTCTCCATACTGTAGGACGTTAAAGGAAAACAATAAATAACATCAAATATCCACTTCCAACCCACTCTGCTGCTAGAAATGTTATTTTGTCCTCATTTCCTCCTGATTTCACTGCTGTCTGACCTCCACAGTAAATACACAACCATTATAATCAATGACATTAAACACTGGCTACACACGGCGGTGCAGGGCGGCAGTGAGCGGACGGCGATCTGCCAAAATTAGATCCAATCCTATTTTTTCCGGACGCCGGGTTGCACCAACAGGAAAAGGAACAAGCACAACATCCGTATTTTCAAAATAAGACACCAAAAGCAGACTAATTTAGTCGAAATCCCAGCCATATTATTGAACATATTGGTATACTTCTACACAAATGCTGTCGGAATGTATCGCTCTGTTTGGGAAGCAGATAGCAACATGTAGCATGCAGCATAGGCATACAGACATGATGCACGCGGATTTTATTTTGAAATCAGAGATTTTAAAAAGACGACAGCGATACAGATTCAACTGTTTGGGTCCACCTTCTACAGAATGAATTCTTTTGTACTGACTTTATCGCATGAGCTTGCATTTCTTGCACACGCTTCTCGTACCTCCTCTGTGCTTCACACCGGAGCGGAGCGGACGCTCTGTAAATTGAGGTGCAAACAAACAGATGGGAGTGCACACTGCAGCGGAGCGGAGTGGAGCTGCATCTAGTGTAAATCAAGGGTGAGGGATGTGTCTCATCTACAACCACATCACATACCGTATGCATTTGTGTTTAGTGCGATCTGAAGAATAAATGCGGCCCACCATTTTTTGAGCTTAAAAAGCTTAAAAATCTAATCCACATGCATGATGCTACCCCCAGTTTTATACAGACTTCAAGATTTTTCAGCCTTTGTGGTTTGTATACATGAATGTGGTCTCCAGTTTTTATTTTATTTTATCTAGCTTTGTAGCAGTGTCATAGGGAAACCAGCATTTAGAATGAGAGTACATGTTCAATTCAATTGAAAGTTTATTTGTAAAGCACATTTACAACCCTCTCACAAATTTATGGATGATTTTTAGGGTTAAATCTTTTGCGTTATACTAGGGGTGTAAGAAAATATTGATACACTGAAATATCATGATATTTCATTTCCCGATACTGTATCGATATTCTAAAGCCCTGTATCGATTTTTTTATTAAGGTTTAAAACGTCAACTT